TTTACTGAATCCACTTGTACCATCATTTGCATTAAACCCTGCCCAAAATATAAAGCCTACTGTATCATTTTTGACAAACACAGTTTATCACTAAAGGTCATCACCTGAGACCAGTCATAAAGGTGAATATACATTAAGGAAAATATAGGTAAAGGAAAATATAGATTATATATAGATCAGGTGTGCTCAACCCCGTTCCTGGAGATCTACCTTCCTGCAGATTTCAGTTGCAATCCATACCAAACACACCTGCCTGTAATTATCAAGTGATGTTCAGGTCCTAAATAGTGTTCATGTGTGTTTGATCAAGGTTAGAGCTGAACTAAGATTTCCAGGAACAGGGTTGAGCATCACTGAAATAGATATATAAAAGCTAAACAAATAAGCTTTCTATCGATATAAACTTTGTTAAGATTGGCTGATTTTTGGCAATCCAAGACCAAATTGGTCCAAATTAGGCTATTAGTAGTGGTGGAAAGGAGTGGACGGTACACCAATGTCTTAGTCATCACCCTTGTGACATTGCGCCACGACACGGATTTCTAATACTGTCAATACCGTAATAAATCAATTATATTCCTTAAACGGCTGCATTTACATCAATAATAGCTCATTCAAAATCGTGAGGCATGAAATTTTCTTCAAACGTTCAGTTGTGGTCTGAATACCTGTCCTTATACTACAGGGGTGGCCAACCCTGTTCCTGGAGAGCCACCTTCCTCCAGATTTCAGTTGCTACCCATATCAAACGCACCTGAAACAATTAATTAGGACCTGAACACCACGTGATAATTACAGGCAGGTGTGTTTGATATGGGTTGCAACTGAAATCTTCAGGAAGATGGCTCTCCAGGAACAGGGTTGGCCACCCCTGTTATACTATATATCTTGTTGTAAATAAAAAAGTAAAACATATTCGTGTCAGCTTTGCCGATAATAAAAAGAGAGTGGCCATTAAACGACTAGTGAAACATCCTGAAGAAATGTCGGGCCTGTAGCCTATACTATCTGAAAAGAGATGAGTGGAGTGTCAGAACCAGACGGAGAGACCGACGCCGCTGTAGAGGAAACCGTCACTGTTCAAAACATGAAAAATACCGTGATATTAATTTTAGGTCATATCGCCCATCCCTAGTGGTGGGCAAAGCGAGGCTTCCTGAAATACTGAAACAGATGAAGCAAATGTGTCAAAGCTTCAAAACGTTTCTAAACCAGCCTTTACAGTGGCACCTATAGGCCGCATTTACACTGCACTGTGTAAGTGACTCAATTACGATTTTTTTCACAGATCGGATATGGCCAATGTATGTGTAAGAACATTGGAAAATTTGAGTTTGATTTACTCAAATCGAATTCAGGCCTTGTAAATTTGTGGAAATTTATCTGATATGAATCGGATCTGTGTTCTCGTGTCTGCAGTGTAAGCAGGCAGATCCAGTAAAAACCATAGCGAAGGATGTGGTCTGACACTTTCATTTAAGAACAGACTTCAGCAGAGTCCCAAACCTTTTATCTCATACACGAGGACTTAAAGAGCTTTTATAATATCATATAGCACAGGTATTTAAGAATTAACTTAGAACCTTAAACCAGCATAAAATGGAATTACTCTATTAACATTACATTACAAGCAATACAGCACTTGCAGTACATTGACATGCTTTATGTGTATGGTGGCTGCAAAAGGCTATAATGAATGTAACATCTGACAATGGACTTAAGGAAATATTGTTTATCTGTTGATTTTTTTCCAAAGCATTTGGCCTAGCTGAGCATGGTTTCTCTCAAGTTTTTATTTTTGTTTGACTTCCATCAGTTGGTGAAGTTTGATTCCTTGCCACTGTCACCTCTGGCTTGCTTGGTTGGAACTGGTGTATCATCGGTTGAGTTGCTCTTCAGTGAATCAGCCTTCAGCAGTGACATTTGCATCACACTGATCTGAACTGAAATTCCGCAGTAACATTTATACCAAACTGAAGCAGTTTAAATTAAAGCAAATTAAATTGTATAGCTTTAGGTGTCAATTCTGTCAGTGAACATGGTTTACTATAGTGCAATTCTTGAAATCTGTAGAGGCATATTGTTTGTATGAGCATGTAGGCTGTGCTGTGCTGTGCTGTGCTGTGCTGTTGTTTTGCCTTGACCTTAAGGTTGAGCTCTGATTACAACTTAGAATTATTATAAAATAAGTAAGCATTGGGTAGCACTGTTGTGCAGTGTGTAGAACAATTGCCTCACAGCAAGAAGGTTGCTGGTTCAAGCCCCGTCTGGGTCAGTTGGGATTTCTGTGTGGAGTTTGCATGTTCTCTCTGTGTTCGCGTCGCTTTCCTCTGGGTGCTTCGGTTTCCCCCACAAGAACATGTGGTAAAGGTAAACTGGATAAGCTAAATTGTCTGTAGTGTATGTGTGTAAATGAGTGTGTGTGGATGTTTCCGAGAGATGGGTTGCAGCTGGAAAGGCATCTGCTGCGTTAAACATATCTTGGATAATTTGTCAGTTCATTCCGCTGTGGCAACCCCAGAATAATAAAAATGAATAAATGAGCATTTTGCAGTCTTTTAAGTAATAGTTTTATTAATAATTGTTCTAAATGGCACCCAAAGATGACAATTCCAATAGTATCTGGATACAGACTTTGAAAGACTGCATATATCAAACTTGCAATGTCAGACACAATGCACTAATGGAGCTAGTGGTGTCACTGTGAGGGTTAGGGGTGGGGTCAGGTGTGCAATTAAAAAGCACTGCATGGAGCTCACCTTGCAACTGCAGTCTGCATCTAGACCCCTCTTGAAAATGTACTCACCATGTACTCTCCCTAATCCTTTATGTCTGTCTTTTTAAATTTGAACACAAATGATGTTGTTACAAAAAAAAAAAAGTTAAAACATGCAATTACTGACATCCATAGTAGAAAGAAACAAATCCAATGGAAGTCAATGAGTATTGTTTCCAACATTTTTCACAATATTAATTTTTGTGATCAACAGAAGAAAGTAGCTCAAACAGGTTAATGAATAAGGTGAATAAATTATAGCAATGACTTTCAGTTTTAGGTGAATTACTAAATATTTATATATTTTTAAAACAATGCTAACTGAAATCAACTGTAGTGTACTGTACTGCTGCACTGTAGAACGTTATAAAGTTAAAGGAACAGTTCACCCAAAAAAAAAATCCTATTAATTTAAACACCCTCAGATCATTCATGGTGGTGTTCGTGTCTTTTTCTACAGAAGAACATTAAAGATTTTTAGCTGAATCTGTGGTCCTTGGTGATTTATATATCGCCAGTCATTTAAAATAAATAAAATAAAAAATACAAACAAGTGCAAATCAATTGCCTAGTGACACACCAATGTATTTTATCTACATTTATATTATAGTACAAAACACTTTATTATTTATTATAAAATACTGTGTGTATCTTATCAATATTCAATACATTTCACACAAAAATGAATGTTTTATAGTATGCTGTTATGTTGTGACAGTAAATTAACATGCCACTTGGCAAGCTTCTTTTTTTTAGACTGGAGTATTACAAATAATTTGTGATACACTGATGACATCAAGTGGATAGAACAGCACAGAACAGTCTCTGGCTGCTGTAAAAGAAAAAAAGACAACTGTAAACACAGTAAAAACAACTGTTTGCCTATGTCTTCCATGTCAGATTAGAACATGCATTTAAGGCAATCCGTGTTAAGCCGCTGATACTGTAGCTGAATTTCCCATTGTAAACACGCATCTTGACGTGAACGAGACGACAAAGGCATTTTTACAGATTTATTGAGATGGGTTGGAGGGAGGTTGTTCTTGCAGCTTCGTACAATTACAGTTTTACCACTGAAATCATATGGAAAGTGCAAATTATTTGGTTCCTTTTATGGAATTTGGTTCTGTTTTAGTCTCGGGATCATTGCTAGAGGGTCAGAAAGATTTTTATATTTTATGTAAAATGTCTTAATTTGTGTTCAGAATAACAAAAGAGGATTGAAATGAAAAGAGGATATTAATGACATGGTTAACATTTTAAGCTTACAAAAATATTTTGCTCCAAACATTTGACGCTGTACTGTAAGATTTGTTAAGTCTCAGATACTTTTATACACTCCCTTCCCCTACTTTTCCTTCTCACCCAACTCACAGAAAGGTCATCCTAACTCACAGAATGGTCATCGCAAAGTATAAATGTTCTGTATCAATGCAAGTGATGTTTTGCACCATGTTTGATTGCATTTGAAATCTTTCAGTGCAACTGGTACAGTAAGGTACATTTCACTTATGATCTCTCATTGCTCACAACCATCTTGAGTTAGTCTCAGCTGCTGCTGCTATCTCTCTAGTTGAGGGGTGTCCAAACTCGGTCCTGAAGAGTTTAGCTCCAACACTAATCAAACACACCTGAACCAGCACATCAAGCTCTTATAGATATACGATAAACTTCGATAGATCTGTCATTCAAACATTTAATCAATTTCATTATATTTTAGAATATATGTATAGGCTTCCATCATTTTATTAAGACACTCCCATTTCGGTTTGATAGTAACATTTTGAAAAACACCTTTCTGAAATGTGTGAAGCTAGTGTTTAGATGTAGAACACAGTGATGTAGAAGCCAGTGTTTATATGTAGGTTAATAATAATAATAATAATAATAATAATTAAAAAAGTTTTATAGGCCAGCTTGGAAGTTAGTATCACCTTGTTTTTTGGGGAGGTGTAAATTATTTCTTGGAGCTTCATATGACTACAGTTTAAGCACTGATCTGATGTCACATAGAATGTTATGACAAAGTATTTGATTCCTTTTCTTTCTGTCTCAGGACCTTTGGTGTCTACGGAGGGTCAGAAAGCAAACAAAGAACAAAATAAAACACAGAGAACAAAATCCAAATGACTTTCCATTGACCATTATGTAGTCATAAGTAAGCATTAGCTTGCAAGATAACCAAATCTATTAAAAACAAAAGATTTGACCCATTGATTCAGAATTACATTGTTAAATCTCATTTGTAGTTTATTGAGACATTTTTCAAAGCATCTTTTTTCTTCTCCCCTACCCATTCATTAATGACCTGGGTGTCATTTGTTTTATCTCGGTTACACAACATTTTCACAACAAAAAGAGATTTGTTCATAGACAATCAAAATTCATAGGTGAAAATTACAAAATGCTCCATTGTCATTATTAAAATAATTCCAGTTTTAAAAAAAGTGAAACATATCCTTGCCTGTTCAAGTCCCATTTTAAGCAGTCATGGTCACCAGAATAGTTAATATGACTGCTTTATCAGCTGTAGAGGCATCTGAAGGCACATTTTGTTACCAAAAAAAAAAAAAAAAACCTAATGTCACTCTAGAGCAGGGGTCACCAATCTTATTCCTGAAGGTTCGGTGCCATGCAGGGTTTAGCTCCACCTTGCCTCAACACACCTGCCTGGGTGTTGTATACCTTGTAAGACCTTGGTTAGCTTGTTCAGGTGTGTTTGATTAGGGTTGGAGCTAAAATCTGCAGGACACCGGACCTCCAGAAACAAGTTTGGTGATCCTTGATCTAGAGCATAGGTCCTAACTCAATTCCTGAAGGACAGATCTGCACAGTTTTGCTCAAACCCTATCAAACACAGCTGATCCTACTAATCAAGGTGTTCAAGACTACTAGAAACATTTAAACAGGTCTGAGTTGGAGGTGGTTGAAGCTAAACTTTGCAGAGCTGTGGTCCTACAGGAATTGAGCTTGATACCATTGCTCTAGAGAGAAGAACTGGCAACACTTTACACAAAGATGCTGTTCATAAGACTGTCGAAACCATTATAATCATGACATGACATGATTGTCATGAGTATGAATGAGGTTTTATTAATCCCATATGACAACTGTTATTAAGTGCCATTCGCACAGGTATGTAATTTTAAATGCAAAGATGACATTGTTTGAGATGTTTTTGTTTTGACAACTTGACACAACCAAAACAATGTAATGGGCTCTATTTTAACCATCAAGCCACATAGTCTAAAGTACATGGCGCAAAAGCATTAAGGGCATGTGCGAATCCACTTTTGCTATTTTAAAGATAGAAAAACACACTCTGCCACTATGGCACATGGTCTCACAGGGTTGTGCTTATTCTCTTAATGAGTTATGAGTGTGTTCTGAGCTAAATGTGCATTAAACAAGTCAGAGTCTCGTCTGTCATTCCCTTTAAGAGTCAGCAGTGTCAAGCCATGGCGCATTTGTTATTTACATGGCGGACTTTGTAAGTGGAAAAACTGAATGTTTTTTGCGAGAAAATAGTTAAACAAACCATCTGCAGCGTGAGGATAAAGAACTCCATTCGGTCTCTTTCTATTTTTCTCTTTCGTGGGTAAGGAAACGGTGTTGTACTCACTCCACTGAAGACATCCAATAGCCTACATATTTAATTTTGTTACTTAAATGCAAAGATTTATTTCAAATCTATTTCTAAATTCAGTTCTAATTTCCATCAAACTAATAAAAAAAAAAAAAAACATTAACGAGGTGTGGTCAAAAAAAGTCATATCAAAACAAATATCCTATGCCCTATATAATCTAAAACCTGACAGGTGGACAAATCTAAGCTTTTTTTTTTTTTTTTTTTAAACAAATGTAAATATGCATATATTTATATATAATATATACAATTTAATAAATAATACCATTATAATAACATTACACAAAAGCAACTTGTCATGAATTTAGTTGATAGTTGATAGTTTTTTTTTTTTTTGCCAGGAGCTCCCCCACTTTGTTTATGGCAACAGACAGGCAGATAGAGAGAAGCAACATGAGTGAGAGGACCAGCATTCATGTACGACCCTATCTCGGATACAGACTAAGCAGAGACTACTGTAGAGGAATCAATATTCCTAATGTGCCAGAGTGGTAGTTACAAAATCATTTCAGCATTTCCTCTAGGATTTTTTCCAGCTGTGGAAGCAGGCCTTTTTTAAACAGATCTACCAACTACCTGTGGCGTTATTTCATTGACAAATGTTGTGTGTGCAGAATTACAAGCCCCCTTAAATATATGCTGCTCCAGCAAAGATCTTCTTGTGCGCTCTCAAATAAACGCTGCTGATGTGCGATTTAGTGCGTTTATGTAAGGAGTATGTTTATTAGATTTGCTAGGAATATTTATTAACGTCTCCAATAGACCTACCGAGCAGTATTAATGCGGCCTTGAAGTAAAGTGAAAAGGCTATACTTCGTGTTTGCTGGCCTCACGCATCACGCACCTGTCAGTCACCTAGTCAGTCAGTCAGCACGTAACCTTAAAGGGTAAAACAAATGACGCACAGCACTACTACGGTTACAGAAAAGTTTGTGCTGTTATAATTCACTTAACTTTTAATACGTTTTAGTGTGATTATAATCCGCTAAGTAAAAAAACAAAAACACGACTGAATGTTTTTAATGAAAAGCTGTAATGTAGCCATGGTGGGATCAATTTTGGCATGGTGCACATGGCGCAAGAATGAATGTAGCGGAAACCATGCATATTTGTGTCTTTGCATAGTTTTACAGCACTACGTAATGATGCATGGTTCATCCGTAAAGGGATGCAACGATTAACTGGTTTCACTTTTAACAGCACTTTAATTCGTCATTGTTAATTAATCGTAAAGGCTTCTCAACACTGTCTTTCTGCACGGATCACTGAACTTTAGCTGAGGCTATAACTAAGGCAAGTGCATTATTTCCAATGAAGGGACGCACACGTGAGACAACACGCTCACACTTTACAGCCTCACCTCACCTACATCCAAAAATAAAGCAATGGTGTTCTTTTGGTGACATCGCTTTGACTCAGACATGCTGAAAATGGCGGACGTGAAAAACAAACTGAGGATGTGGTAATGCGCACCTGTCAATCAATATTGGTGGGCGAGGGGATCACACTTCTACGTCAAGCTGTGGTCGATCTCAAAACCGATCCAATTGGTCAATTTTTATGTTGTTAAATCGAAAAAAAAAAAAAGGGTTGGGTGTGTTTATATCACCCCAATATGATGGTTTATACACTATACCTACACACATGTCTGTCCAAACAGCTTGAAAAATAGATTTTTCGCCATAGGTGCCCTTTAGGCAATGTGAACGCGTTGAAGGCGCAGAACTAACATGCTCTGCACTGGACTTCAGACTAGTTTTCAGACTGTTTTAGTTCCTCAAAATAGCAACGCGCCAACAATACGCCTTAACACACCTTTTTCTAAACTGGCCCACCTATGAGTCCACGAAGCAGCGCAAATGGATTTGTTTTTTAAACAACATGGCGCAAAACGGGAAAACTAGGGTTGCGCTGGTCTGAAAATAGCAACACATCGCAGCAAACACTCCTTGCACCTTATTGCGTCGGATGTATGATAGGGCCCAAAGTGTCATAAATCTCTCAAGCATAATTGTCATAATACCATTATTATCATGTTATTGTATAACAACATCATTAATATTTTTCTTTTGTTTAACAACAGTGGCACAAACTGAATTAGTCATAAAAATGTCAATAAACGTTAATGATGCAGAAATAAAATTTGCGACTTTTTAAATTTTAATGACAAATTCTGAAAAAGTGATAAGAAAAATATTCATGACAATTCTAATGGCATCATGACATTCATGCTTATGACATATTTTATGATATACATTATAAAGTTAAAGTATGATATTACATTATAAAGTTATGTTGTCTTGGTAATGTCAAGTTGTCATGACAAAGAAAAACACATGTAGTGATGTATTTGTTTGTCAAGTTGCCCTAACAAATACACAACAATGTCACCTTTGCATTTCAAATGGCATAAATGAGCTACAGTTGTCATAAGCATGCTTAAAATTGTATTTATATTCATAACATGTCATGAAGGCCACAAGGTGTCATGACAGTCTTATGAACACCCCTTCAATAAAGTGTTACTGAAGAGTTAAACGTAGTGGTTACATTCTAGCTCTCAAACAGATGAGAGTGTTGTTTGTGCAGTCAGAGATGATAATCACCTCGTTGTCCACCCGTCTTGCTGAGTAACTTTACATCAGTGATGATAATGTCATGGCTGACTGACTTGCACATGTCATAGAGGGTAAGCGAGGCTATTGAAACGGCAGTTAGCGCTTCCATCTCCACTCCTGTGCGGCCTGTGGTTTGGCAGGTCGCCTTGATGACAGCAGCATGTTCCTCTTCTAGCAGCTCAATGGTAACCGAGGCATGGTCAAGAGGAAGTGGGTGGCAGAGAGGAATGAGATTGGAGGTCTGCTTGGCACCCATGATGCCCGCTAGCTGTGCTACCGCTAAGGCATCACCCTTGGCTACCTGGTTGGCACAAACCAGATTAAAGGCTTTTGGACCTAGGATAACCTTGCCACAAGCTGTAGCTGTGCGACGAGTTACTGCCTTAGCCCCAACATTAACCATGGAGGCTTTACCCTGCGCATCAGTGTGAGTCAACTGATTGGAGGTTCCATCAAGGCTGGATTTTAAGTCTTTATGTCGGATTTTCAAATGGAACCCACATTCAGGGGTTTTGTGGTGGCAGTGCCGTGCAAACTGCAGGGCTGAATCTTTAAGTAGTGCGCGAGATGTGCTAAGAAATGGGATGAGAGCAAATATTTTTGATTGTGGCACTGGTGGACGAGAGTGTTTTTGCAAAATGTGCTGTAGTAACATTCTGGATTTGTTTTGTTTTGAAGCACTAACAGTCACTCGATAAGATTTTGAAATTCTATCATTGCAAAGTGCTTCTAAGGCTTTGCGATTTTGTTTCCGATTGGTAAAGCGTGTCAAGGAATAAAACGAATATAGTGCATCAGTAACAAAAGTGCTTTTGTAATCCTGATAGCCAATAACATGAAATGGGCGATGATTGCATTTTCCTAATGACTGGGTTGTAGAAATGGCTGCCAAATCCATGCGGTGGATTAGAGGAAGAGTCTGTCTCTGATTGTCTCTAAATGGAGACATCGGCAGCAGCCAAGTGCAGTCTCTACCTGTAGACAAGGATACACATAACAATATATTTCAAAACCAGCCTTATGTTGCATTGGTTTATTTGTGTGAATAGCTCAAAACCAATGTTTTATGTTTTCATTTATATTAAGATCACGTTCCATGAAGACATAAGCCCAATCCCAATTCTATTTTTGTACCCCTTCCCCTTGGCCCTTGAAACAGAGTATGACGGGGAAGGGCTTCAAAATTTACCCTTAAGAAATGGGAGACCACTACAACACCGCCACAGGTCATCATTTGTCATCGCGATCTCTTCATATGAGATGTGCACGACTGCTGTAGTTATTTCAGTTGTGTTATTTTTTGGTATTTATCTTGAGGAAATCCCCGAAGGCAACTATATTTTATCATAATGATATAATGTGGCAATAAGATCGTAAACTGTACTGTACATTTACACAGTGGCCATATTTATCTATGTAAACACACGAAAACTACATAAACATTATAGAAGACACAGTAAAAAGCCCCTTACCACCCACTAGACTTTTCTGACTGGGGATTCGAGTATCATTGAGTGTCAGAATGTGGTGGGACTGCTATACATGAGTTATTATTAGAGATTATAGATAGCGAATTGTAATTTAAACAATGATGGTAAACACATGCAATTATGAATGTATTAAAACATGTGCTTGTTTGTTGTAAAAATTCATAATAATACAAAAAAAAAAGACTAATTTGTGCATCTGCTGACTTCCGTGTGCAGCCATGTTGTAGATGGTGTATTATGGGGAAATATTCTTACCCCTTTGTTTCGAGTGTGGTCATGAACCATCTCCATTTCAAGGGTTATCTAGTCCTTCTCCTTAGCCCTATGGCTTCAAGCTAAAGAGAATTGGGATACCCCTACTTCTTCACATGAACACGCAAAACAAGGGGTAAGGGTAAAGGGAACGGCTAAGGGGTAGAATTTAGGGTTGGGCCATACTGTAAATTTCCTTCCATAAATACAATTTGTGGTTAGTAATGTGCCATGTAAATACACCTAAACTCATGATGCACTCTTGTTTGGCATAAGGAACAAAAAAAGTTGCATGATGTAAATGATCAACCCTATTTAAAGCCTAAATTTTAAAACAATTGTTTTAGTGTTTGTGCTTCAGAGCAAAGCTAAAAGCAGCTAATTCTAAACTTTCACTTGTATATCCTCAAAGCTATAAAAACTTTAATGCAGAAAAGGACAGAAGTGGTCCTGTAGTTTGTGTGAGGTGGGAAATGTATTACGTACAGCCACATCACCCACCAATGAGAATCATCGGCCGGTTTTTCATCTTGGATATATTCAGCATCCCTGAAGAAAAGAAGAGATGATTACATTCACTACAAATATAGTAAATACTCAATTGAGTGTTCTTCAGTAGTTTAATAGTAATCATTTGCCAGGCAGTTCAGTGCTTCCCACAGTTTTGAAATATACATGATGTACTAGCCGGATTGAAACACACCTTTTACCCAGAGCACATAAATGGTCAACTATATTCGACAAACAAAAATAATGTGATTTTTAACTATGATTTTATTTATTATGACACTGTTATTCACTTTTCTTTTCAATGGGTTAAAGTTATTTTAAAAAGCTGTTAAATTAAAAGAAATCCACTGTTTCTCTCACTTTTATGCTATTAAGGAGCCATGCGCAACCACTGACAGTTGCTTCATGACATTTTGTATGCGGCATTGACAAAGTGTTTTAGATAAAGTATGTAATATATTAACTTTGTTAAATTAATAAAATATACAGCAAATGAGAAATAAATAACAAAAAAAGAAAACAGACAATATTTAAAAATATATATAATAATTATAAAAATAAAAAGTTATGATTTATTAAATAGGGCAAGTTATTTGATTAACTATTTCTAATGGTGTACTAATATTTTGCAGCTAGCATAGATGTCATTTTGCAGAGCGAGAGAAGATTTTCCAGTGGTTAATCAATCGAAAATATTTGGCTTTCTTGGGCGGATACAAAAAAAAGGATGTAAAAGGATGATAATAATAGTATCATTCATGTGTCACCACCAAATATACTTGGGTGGCTGTTAATATACCTGGGCAGCCTGCCCAAGTAAAGTCTATGTGTGGGTAGCACTGCAGTTGGTATGACAAATCATCAACAATTGATATCTGAAACTGTCTTATTATCAGCGATTATTATCACTGATAATTCATTCATTCATTCATTTTTCTTTAGCTTACTACCTTCTTTATTAGGGGACGCCACTGCAAAACGAACCACAAACTATTATGGCATATGTTTTACGCAGTGGACGCCCTTACAATCACAATCCAGTACTGGGAAAGACCCATACACTCTCATTCATTTACATACACGACAGCCAATTTCGTTTATTCAATTCACTTATACTGCATGTCTTTGGACTGTGGGGGAAACCGCAGCACCCGGAGGAAACCCATGCCAACATGAGAACAAGCAAACTCCACACGGAAATGCCAACTGGCCCAGCCGGGACTCAAAAACCAGTGACCTTTCTGCTATGAGGCCACAGTGGTAACCATTGAGCCACAGTGCCACCTACTGATACTTATGGGTTAAGTAAAATAATCTTATATGAAACCACAAACAAACTAATCTGCAGGTAATTTTGCTAGTTTTAAGGACAAACCCACTTAATTGTGACTATTTCTGAAAACAACAATATTTTTTACTTGTCTGGAAAAGGCTTGTTGATTTAAGAAATTTTTGATTTATGGACTAGAAACAAGACAAAAACTCTAATCAAGAAACGCAGTGAGGGGTGTACGTCTACCTGCATGCTGTTTCTTCTTCCTCCCAACCGCTGCCCCTATGATATGCAGTAGTTCTTTTTCAGTTGCTCCAGAACGCAGAAAATCTCTCAAAGACACCTCTGCATTCCCAAATAAACAAACCTAACAGTGGGCCAACACAGACACATATGTAAAACACACACTAGCATTAGTGGCCGTCTAATTTAAGGGCAAAATTACAATTATGTCATGTATCCTCATGTTGTTCCAGAGATATTTGTGATGTTCACCTTCAGACCACAAATGATGATATTTTAGGTGAAATCGAAGAGCTCCCTCATCCTCCATAGACAGCAAAATTCCTGACTTGTTCAGAAAATACCTAAAAACATCCTCAAAACCGGCCATGAGCTGTTGTACAATAGGAACTCAATCGCATTTGGTTATGTCTTTGATGTACTGTTTAACCTTGGATGCACCTGTGCTTTGTTTCAAACAGGGGTATTCATCACTAATGCTTGTGAACGTGCACAATATACTGACACTGAAATAAAGAAACAGTTGAATACAGATTTTATTTTTGCTTTATGTGTGCACAAAAGTATCCTTGTAGCTTCACAATATTCATATGGTTTGTTTAGGGGATGTTTCTTAGTATTTTTCTGGACTCTGAATGATTCAGGAACCTTGACTAGTCTTTTAGTTCCTGCTGCTGAAAAACATCCCCACAGCATAACGCTGCCATCACCATGCTTCACTGTAGGGATGGTATTAGCCTGGTGATGAGCAGTGTCGGGTTTTCTCAAAACGTGACACCAATCATTCACTCCAAAGAGTTCAATTTTAGTCTCATCTGACCAGGGAATTTGGTTTCTTATGGTCTGAGAGTCCTTCAGATGCCTTTTGGCAAATTCCAGACGGGGACTGGCTTCCATCTGACCACCCTACCATACAGGCCTGATTGGTGGATTGCTGCACAGATGGTTGTCCTTCTGTTAGGTTCTACTCTCTCCACAGAAGAATGCTGGGGCTCAGACAGAGTGACCATCGGGTTTATGGAGGATGAGGGAACTCTCAAATTTTACCTAAAGTATCTTCATGTGTGTTTTGAAAACGAATGAAGGTCTCAGGTGTTTGGAACAACTATAGGATGAGATTTTTGGATGAACTAACTCTTTCAAAAGCAAAGGAACATTACCTTGAGGTTGCCATCAGCCGTAATGCGCAGTCTGTTACAGGAACCACAGAAATGGTCTGACATTGAGGTAATGAAACCCATCTGGCCCTGAAATCCTGGTATTTGAAATGCCTATGAGCACAGTACACACAAATAAACACACTGCTGATGCCTTATGTAATTACTTCCCATATGTTCAGTTTTCAAATCACATGTGCTTAATCCTGTATTCGCATAATTCAAAGATTTATAAGAGTCACACTCCACAACTGCATTAACATCTGGCTCATTTCCACACAGTGTGTATGTAACTGAACTGAACAATTATTTGCTATTGACATCTCTCTTCTCTTCTGTTTGTACAAAATAATAAGCAACTGCACAGAGAACACACATTTTTGAGGGGAATCTCCTCATCCACCACCAGTGTGCAGCATCCACCTGGATGACGCAACAAGCTGCACAAAACACACTAGCTGACTGGTGTAAAGGGGATGAAGCCAATTATGATATGGGGATGGTTAGGGGGCAAATTTGGCCAGGATGCTGTGGTTAAACCCTGACTTTTTCCGGATGTCTTTTTCAAAAGACATCCTGGGATTTTTAAGGACCACAGAGAGTCAGGACCTTGATTTAACGTCTCATCCGAAAGTCCCTATCCAAATACTGGGGAGTTAGGACCCACACAGATCACAGGTTGAGCACCCCCTGCTATAGTGTTTTTGATTACTACTATAATATAGTGTTTTTGAACCATAGTAGTAGTAATAGTAAAGTACTTAATTTAGTCTGTTGTGGTAATTCTATAGTTGCTAGGGTAACACAACAACTACAGTAATATATACAAATGTGTAAATACTGTAGTTTTTTACAACTATAGGGTATATTATACTACAGTACACCATTTTTATGATAAAAACTAAAGAACCCTACAGTATGTTAGTTCTCTAGTTTATACTACAATATGATGTAGCTTTAATCAACAAAGAGTTGTAAATAAAATATGGCACTTGTGCTAAAATATGGTTCAAAATACTATAGTATTTATTATAAATTACTATTGTTTTTTATATAAATAATTTATACAGAAAATAACAAAAAATATCTGGCTAAAAATAACCATAAACTTGAATTCTTTTTAAGCAAAACTTAACATCAAGCACATGGATACAGTAGTTATAATAACCGATAAAGCAACACTGATAGAACATTGTAAATCATTACATTTTGGTTACATGTGTTGAAATGTGGTTGTCACTCCAGAAACTTGTGTGTATGTAGCCTAGGATGTTACAGCCCTTTATGAAGATGACTCCAACACCAATAAAGTACAGTGACACAGGAAACGCGGGCATAAGTTTAACCCCCAGCCCTGGGTTAAAACCAAAATATTTTTAACTACTCTAATGAGACTTAAGAACACCAAGAACAATTCATGGCCAATGATTTATTTAGCAGTCTGGAGTTGGGCTGACCTTGGCTGTGTCTGTTTCCTCTCCGGGCAGAGGCTGCAGATTGGGCCATTTTTGCTTTATACAATCTAGCATCTCTTGATAGCTCACCATCATCTTAAAGTTCCATCTGTTACCTACAAAAAAGTAACTGTTAATTAAGCAACATTCAACTGTTTTACATTCTTTTAAGTAGAAATCTTTTTTTTTTTTTTTTATAAAGGATTTTCAGATCAAAATGGCTTGTTTTGTGCTGGCAATTATGAGAAGAACAACTTGATCATACTGTACAAAAGAAAGAAAAAAAACAAGCAGCAGCCCTACAAATGACACAGCCTTAGATGAAATCAACTGCACTTATAAACAATTACAGCTTAATTTATATCATATTGTTTCTATTCATTCATTTTCTTGTCGGCTTAGTCCCTTTATTAAGCACACAGTGGAATGAACCGCCATATTGTATCTACATATATCAAATTTGTATTACATTCTAAACAGTTCTATTATAAGCTCCACAGTGAAAAATGAAACTGCCTGGACTGGATCAGCACAGAATGGACTTGTTAAGCAAACTGAATCGTTTGGCCCGATAGTGGAAAAAAACTGTTAGTATCCCAGGTAGGGTAGGATCTACAACCCTAAATCAGAAAAAGTTGACAGTATGAAAAACGCAAATAAAAATAGGAAGTAGTGAATTCCAAATTTACTTTGACTTGTATTTACTGCAGACCATATGCACACAAAATATTTAATATTTCAGGTCAACTTCATTTCATTTGTAAACATACGTCATCTCTTGTCATTTAGACCTGCAACATATTCCAAAAGTTGGGAAAGGAGAAGTTTAGGGCTAGTAATCAGGTAAATTGGTTAAATAATAATGTGCTTTGAAACAGGTGATGTCAGCAGGTGATTGTAATTATAGGATCCAAGAAAGTCCTTCAGGAGCAAAGACAGCATAGGGTCGCCAGTTTGCAAACAAATACGTGAAAAAATATTGAAATGTTTAAAAACAATGTTCCTCAAAGGAAGACAGAAAGATATTTGGATATGTCACCTTCAACAGTGCATAACATAATTAAAAGATTCAAGGAATATATAGGGATTTCAGTGCGTAAAGGACAAGGGCGCAAGTTTAAGCTGGACAACCGTGATTTCCGATCCCTCAGCCTGCACTGCATCAAGAATCCTCATTCATCTATAAGCGATATCACCACATGGGCTCAGGAATACTTCAGATGCATCTAGGATGGACCACTGCACATGTGTACTGCAGTCAGATGAATCTGTATATTGGGTATTTTTTGTGACCAATGGATGCTGCATGCTCCGGACCATAGAAGAAATGGAACATCCAGACTATTACCAGCAACAAGTTTAAAAGCCTGGGTCTGTCATGGTATGGGGTTGTGTCAGTGGTAACTTGCACTTCTGTGATGGCATCATTAATGCTGAAAAGTACATAAAGATTTTGAAGCACTATATACCTTCTTTTCCAGGGATGCCAATGCATATTTCAACAAGACAATGCAAAACTACATTCTGCACACATTAAGAAGTCCTGTTTGTGGAGGATTAGGATACAGATACTTGGATGGCCTGTCTGCAGTCCTGGGGCCTCATGTATCAACGCTACGTACGCACAAAAACTTTGCGTACGCCAGGTTTCACGCTCAGAATTGCTCACGTTTGGATTTACTAACAATGAACTGAACGTGGGAATGTGCGCAGCTTCACGGCAGCTTTTTGGCAGGCGTACGCACATTTTTTGTGCGTGTCTGTTTTATTTCCATTGGCGACTCCTAGAGGCAGTTGTGTTAAATTCCTCTCTACAAAGTGTCTGAGCCTTGCAATGGCAGCTGTATGAGACAGGTTCATCTAGCAGGTAAAAAAGGTTTCCATACCATACAGTTGAGCAGCTAAACATTAAAGCACAATTTGCAGCGGTCGCCTGTTTTCCCAATGTAATCTGAGCTATCTACTGCACGCACATTGCTATAAAGACACTATCTGAAGATGAATTTGCATTCGTGAATCAGAAACATTTCATTCAATAAATGTGCAAATAAAATATGATGCACAAACTTATTGATGATTCCTACTTGTCTTTCTCGTGATAAATAGTGGGTAAAATCTGATATGTAGCGGGGAAAACAAGAAGAAAGAGTTCATCAGACGCTGGATTCGAGCCGAGTTCATGCTCGAACGTGTCAAAACATGTTGACATGCGTCTTACGAACGCGCCACTGGGACTGTTAAGACTGCTGCAACATTTTACAGATATAAACCAGACTATTTATTTTTTTAATGCACTCAGTGCAATGTTTAGACCCAACTGTGTTGACCGCATCAGCTAAACTCTCCCACTCTATTTTTTTTCTTTTGTTGTTAATTCCGGAGAACAAACTTGCAAATAACACCGCTTTTCTCCGGTCTACCTCCGAAAGGAGCACCTCCAATTCACATTCTGTTCAAAGTTTCTCTTTTTGCTTGCTTTTGCCATTGCTTTTTCGTTGGGTTTTTCCATTAGCATAGTCATTAGCATATTCATACGGGGAGGAGGCAGGGAGGGGTTTTGTGCTCGTGCATGTTGCGCTCAGTTTCACGTTCATTCGGATGTACAAAAGAATATGCGTGAGATTCGGCGTACGCAGTGTTTCATACATCTGAATTTTTTTCTGCGTACGCACATTTACAGCTTTGTGCGTACGCAATGTTTTAGTAAGATTTCCACGCAAGTCTTCGTACATGAGGCCCCTGATCTGTATCCAATAGAGCATATGTGGTGCATTTTGAGGCACTAAATGTGTCAATGAAGACCTAATACTGTTGCCCACTTGTTTGCAGGAAGAATGGGATTCAAATTACACCTGAAACACTTTATCTCCTGGTGTCTCAGTCAGTCCCTAAACGTCTTTTAAGTGTTGTGAAAAGGAATGGCAACATTACAAAGTGGTAAATGCTTTACTTTTCAAACTTTGAAATTCTTGAAGTGTGCTGCAAGTACCAAAATTTGAATACAAGTTTATTTAAAAAATAAATAAATAAATAAATAAATAAATAAAAATCATGAGGAACACATTAGATAATGTTTGTTGTATTGTTTGCAATAAAAACAAGTAAAAGTAAATTTAGAAATCACTACTTTCTTTTTTTTATTTGTGTTTTCCATACTGTCTCAACTTTTTTTTTTTTATTTGGGGTTGTAGTAGGTCTACCAACTACACCAGTACTAAGAAGTATAACCCAACATTTACTTGCATGGAATTTATGCTAGACTTTTCAGAAGGGAAATGCCAGTTTTTCAAAAACTTTTTTTCTAAGGGGTAATCTCAACCTGTTTACTATGATTTTACTACAATTCTTATTGCTGAGTCTACTGTATGCTATTTTTATTGTCTGTTTGTTTGTTTTTTTCTTGAGAGATTAATAGTTTTACTTTGTGTAAGGTGAGGTGGGGTTAGATGAGACATTGTTTGCACATCTTACAGACATCTTAATCAGTTTGTTATTGGAGTGACTGCTTTAGTATTGACCTTCAGGGGGGGAACCAAAGATAAATCGTATCAGACTTCTGCTACTGGCTTTTCTCTCTTTCTGGCTAACAAAGATTAATCTACTAAAGTTTGTCTCAAATCCCTTTATTGTCAACCACTAGAAAAGTTTAAACTTGTTTCATAGTACCTGATGTAAAGATGTACCTGATGCTTCATAGTACCTTGTTTCATAGTATCTGATGCTAAGTATCACCTGAGTGGAACCATGTTAAACATGTTTGAAAATGTTATGCATGTACATGAAAATAAATATGGAGGAACACTAATTGTTAAGCTTTAAATATAGATTATTATATACTACTAATATGATTAGGAAACTGGTGCAGAGATCACAACATTTACAACTGTGCTTTAATCTGTATGAGGGGCTGTGTATATGTATATTTCTCTTTGATTAGTTAACATAATCTTACCATTAAAAGGCATGTACTCTATGAATCTCACATCCAAAGGTTTCCTCTCTGTCAGTGATACAAAATCAACCAATTCATCTTCATTCAGACCTCTCATGACAACACAGTTCACCTGGGGACAGAGACAACACTTTACCACAATGAACACGTAATTGAGGTTTTTCAAAATTCAGTGCAAAAATAACAAGTCTGATAATGGCATTGCGTTGTTCAGGTGTGGCTTAAAAACATGTGTTAATAAACTTTTAAGGTAGTTCCAAAATTTTCTGACATTTGATTAAACATGTTTCGGGTAACCAAAGTGGAACATACATTACAGCTTATAAGTGGTTGAAGCAACAAACAGCCATGGAATAGAGTATATGTGTGAGCCCACTGCAGGAACATACTGATAAAGTACTGCAGTTTTACACAGTAAAGTCCACTGTAAAAGAGTACTGTAATGCTCTGTGATACATTACTATAATGCTCTGTTTGCTTGTAGCCCAGCATCCTCTATTAATAAACTTCATCTAGTACAAAATGCAGCTGCCAGAGTTCTTACCAGGTCTAGAAAATATGATCATATCACCCCAGTTTTATCCTCCTTACACTGGCTGCCTGTTAAGTTTCGAATTTAATTTAAAATATTGGTTTTTACCTATAAAGCTTTAAATAATATAGCTCCTGTTTATCTAACTAACCTTCTGTCTCGCTACAGTCCAACCTATTCTTTAAGATCTCATAACTCTCAAAAAAAGGGCTTCTTGTAGTACCTCAAATAGCTAAGTTGAGTAAAAGAGGTCGAGCCTGCTTATTTATGGCTCCTAAACTCTGGAATAGCCTTCATTTCAAAACTAGATTAAAGACCTACCTTTTTATTAAAGTAAAAATACTTGATACGGTATGATACATGAATGTGCCCCACGCAGGTTTTGCATCTCATTTATATACACTATGAACAGCAGCTACTCTAATTATTCTCTTTATTCTCTATTTCCACCTGGGGATACTCATTCCGAGGCCCTCAGACTATGCAGCGCCACTGATTTGATCCAAGACCAGCGACGAGATGATCCCAAGGTTTCCATAATCCTGGACCAGGCCTTATCCTTATATACGCCTAGACTGCAGCTCTGCACAAGACATTTGGCCAGAGAAGAAATGGTCGTGCCCAACTGAGCCTGGTTTCTCTCGAGGTTTTTTTCATTTTTCACTTTCACCAATTGGTGAAGTTTTTCCTTACCACTGTCGCCACTGGGTTGCATGGTGTGGGATCTGTAGTGCTGTGCATCGATGGATTTGCTCTTCAGTGTTTGGAGTCTCAGTAGTAATTAAACCACACTGAACTGAGCTAAACTGAACTGAACCTAAACATTGAAAACTGAACTACACTGTTTCAATTTACTATGATCTTCTAAGTGAAACTGCTTTGACACCATTTAGATTGTTAAAGCGCTATCCAATAAATGCAAATTGAATTTAATTGAATTTAATTGAATTGTGGAGTTGCTCTTCAGGGTTTGGACTTTCAGCAGTGACATTTACATCACACTGAACTGAACTAAACTAAACTTCAACTGACAACTGAACTGAAGCAACTTCAATTTAATAGAACTTTATCTATGTTAAGCTGCTTTGACACAATCCACGTTGTAAAAATCACTATAGAAATAAAGATGAACTGAATTGAAAGATTAAATAGTTTATAGAAATCTATAGTAGAGGTACTTTAAAGATATTTTAAAGAAGGTACATTACCTTGACTGGATTGTAACCCATTTCAATAGCCCTTTCAATGCCTTCCATCACCTTATGAAACCCTGCAAGATATTACAATATTACGAATATTAAAGACCACATATTGTAAGGATTTTAAGGCTAGCATATTACACGCCCAATATTTAAGGTTGGACACCATTGAATATTTATTATTATCTCAAATAAATTATATAAATGATAATCTTGATTTTTGGTTTTCACCCAGAACATTAATTTTATTCCATTACTACTTGTTATATACAGTTAGGTCCATAAATCTTTGGATATCGATAAAATTCTAACAAGCTCTATACACAAACACAATGGATTTGTAATTTAAACAAACAAGATGTGCCTTAACTGCATACACTTAGCTTTAATTTGAGGGTATTTACATACAAATCAGGTGAACGGTGTAGGATTTACAACAGTTTGCATATGTGCCTCCCACTTGTTTAGGGTCCAAAAGTAATTGGACAATTTGCTTTTAAGCTGTTCCATGGCCAGGCGTGTGTTATTCCCTCATTATCCCACACACAATGAGCAGATAAAAGGTCCAGAGTTTATTTTAAGTGTGCCAGTTCCATTTAGAATCTGTTACTGTCAACTCTCAAGATGAGATGCAAAGAGCTGTCATTTTCAGTCAAGCAAGTCATTTTTAAGCAAACAAAACAAACCCATCAGATAGATAGCAAAAATATTAGGCATGGCCAAAACAACTGTTTGGAACATTCTTAAAAAGAAAGAACGCAGTGAGCTCAGCAACACTAAAAGATCCAGAAGACCATGGAAACAACTGTGGTGGATGACCAAAGAATTCTTTCCCTGGTGAAGAAACCACTCTTCACAACAGTTGGCCAGATCAAGAACACTCTACAGGAGGTAGGTGTATGTGTCTCAAAGTCAGCAATCAAGGGAAGACTACACCAGAGTAATTACAAAGGGATCACCACAAGATGTAAAACATTTGTGAGCCTCAAAAACAGGAAGGCCAGATTAGTGTTGTAAAAAAGCCTTCCCAGTGCTGAAACAACATCCTATGGACATATGAGATTAAGATCAACTTGAACTAGAGTGATGAGAAGAGTATGGCAAAGGAAAGGAACTGCTCATCATTCTAAACAGAGAAGCATGGTGGTGGTAGTGCCATGGAGTGGACATGTATGGCTGCTAACGGAACTGGTTCTCTTGTATTTATTGATGATGTGACTGCTGAAAAAGCAACAGGATGAAGTACTTTTGGACCCTTAACAAGTGGGAGGCACATGTGCAAACTGTTGCAATTCCTATAGCGTTCACCTGATTTGGATGTAAATACCCTCAAATTAAACCTGACAGTCTGCAGTTAAAGCACATCTTGTTCGTTTCATTTAAAATCCATTGTGTTGGTGTATAGAGCTAAAAATATTACAATTGTGTCCATGTCCAAATATGTATAGACCTAACTGTATATCTCTAAAACTATGCTTGCTCAACAGCATATTGTACCTTTTCGTCTAGTGATGAACTCAAATTTGGCAGGAACCAGGGTGTCTAGGCTGATGTTAAGCAGATCCACACCCGCTTTCTTTAGATCAGGCAAAATTTTGGCCAAATTCATCCCATTTGTGGTGACTGCAATGGTCTTCAGACCCTCCAACTTCCTAAGTTCCGCTTTCAGAAAAAAAAAAGAAATGATCAGGTATACAGTTTTAGTGTTTCTGACTATAACATTGTATTGTCATGCTTTGTTTTGTTTGCAGTATATTAACTTGCATAACTGCACAATGTTGGGGGTAACACATTGTAAATCACGTATTAATATTACTTTTTTAAGCAACAAGAAAAAAATGAAGAAATAATATATGAATTACTTTTTTAAAATGTAATGAGTTAATTTTTTGTTTATTGATTAGCTTTTAAAAAAATAATTTGCCGAGTTAAATTGAATGTCGACACGTTGGATCCCGCACTCGATGAGAGAATGCAGAAAGATGGCAGAGCCTTATATTTTAGCGATGGAAGAATTCTCATTATTCTGAACACATGGAAGAAAAGTAAAAGGGGGTTGTCTCAATGGACAGTGATTTTATGTTACTATAAAGACAAAAAGTATAAAAGTAGCAAACACATTGCTTTAAACTATCATTAATCTGTATATACGGCTTGTCTAGCTCTGAGTTCAGGAAAATCTCAAAACAACATTATCCAACATTTTTTTAAAAGGTAAATGAAGGTTATACAGTGCATTGTTAATTGCAGAGCTTCTATATTAAACAAAAATAGTAAGTTCTGAAAGAGATCAAGCCTCAGCAGGTAAAAAAGGAACACAAAATAACATAACACACTACTTACCATAAAAAGTAGCACAACTAGCTATTTTTTTGGGGAGGAAGTCAACATTGTAATGCATTACTTACAAAAGTAACTTGTCCCAAAACCAACAAAAAAATGTGCATTTTACATACAGCCCTAATCTTGGTTAAAATATGCATTATATGAAAATTAATTAAAGAATTGATTCCAACATGCAACGTGTAGATTTTTGACAGATCTACAAACCATTTTGAGGAATGTAAACAAAAAGCAAAGGCATTGGTCCCAGCATATTTCCTGTCCTACATTTTAAATTTTTATAACTTCCGAGAATCGAAAAAGTGCCACATTTGAAAAATAATGTTATGATAGCTGTTTTAACATTAAGTTATGATTCAATAGGCTATATGCATACATTACTTCCACGTTTGTCTAAGGCTGCGGTCAAACTTCCGGCCTGGGTGATTTTAAGCGGAAGTAAACAGTATTATGGCAGAGTCGTCAATATTTACTTGCTGTTTGCGGGAATTACGGTTGTGCAAATGATTGTCCGGATGTGCACTACAACACCACAGAGCAAACTTGAGAAAGATTTCAAGTTTTATGCATCTTCGTACCTGTGCAATTATGAAGGTAAGTTCAGCTAGCCTGTAGGCTAATATTAATACTCTTATGATCCGTCCATCAGCAGCTTTATCACGTTAGTAAAAAATATCATATGTGTAAGTAATTCTGTCCCAAAGTGTCAGGTAAAAACAGGGCAGGAAAAAGATCTCAGTGAGAGCTCATTGCTACCGATTTACGAAGAAATCGGAGTCTCCTCACCAGCTGAGAGTAGGATAGCATGAATGTGAAATTCTGTCCTGTTCATATTTTTACTGTTCTAAAGTGACCTCCACTGTTCAGTTCGGGTAATCACAGAAACACAGACGCTATCTTAGCTTGTAAGCCTGATTATTGAGAATTTATTAGGAATGAAATAATACAATGCAGATCCATCCACGACAGACAAATAGCACTGTGTTATTGCTGAAATAGTGGTGATGACAGATGCAGTGTAACAGTGTAGATGTCATGCTTTCTAGTTAGTCTATAACATTGTAATTAAATGGGAGGGTGACCCCCAAACAATAAGGTGTTATTAGGTAATTTCACATCAACAATTTGTCTATTGCAATATTTATTAGTTTTTTTTTTTTACGTTAACGAACAAATGCTTATTCATTGTGCTTGTTAACTCACAATGTAATAGCTAATGTTAACAAACATGACTTTGGATTTTTATTCATTAGTAAATTAGTTTAACTATGATTAAGTGCTGTACAAGTGTTGTTTATTATTAGTTCATGTGAGCAAATACATTAACTAATGCAACCTTATTTTAAAGTGTTACTAATGGGAGTTAGTTTTAAATTATACAAAATAATGATTTACAGTGTAGTTTAACCTGATGATATTGGTGCAGATGCAGAACACATTTTAAAAGAAGATGTTTTGAAGGAAGCTGGAAACCTGTAACCATCGACTTCCATAGTAGGAAAAAGAACTAATATAAATATCAGTGTTTGCAAGTTTCAAGCTATCTTCAAGATATCTTCTTTTGTGTTAAACAGCATAAAGAAACTCAAATAGGTTTGGAACAAGTGAAGGATGAGTAAATAGAAGTTTCAGTTTTGGGAATTGCCTTTAATGACTCTCTTTAAAAAACCCAATAATATTCTTGTTTCGTTTTCCAAGTAACTTTATGAGACTCAGAGCTAGAAAATTTGGTGTGTTACTCCATCCTGGAGAGGACATCCATTAGAAAATCCATGTCATCATCTGCTAGTTATTAGCTCCTGCTCTTCTGTTGCCGAGAGGGGGATATGCAAACATTGGGTTGCCTTGCTTTTCCAGACAGCCCAATACTCTGAAATGTGTAATGTCTGTTGTCCCACCTGCACCCAAATGGAACAGAAGTTGCATGAACCATGAACCATAGCCCAAATACCTCTCTATGCACAAGTAACAGAAGGACCAAGCTGAGAAAACAACTGATTCAATGTTATCGTTTCTGTTCATCTAAAAAAATATATTTTTTCAAAAGTAGCTTAAGAAATGTTTATGTATATTAATGTTCTTTTTTTTTCACTTTAAAGGCAATAAAAAATAAACTATATTTTTTCAAAATATTTTTTTTAACAATTTAATTTCAAACTATATACAGTGAATAATATTTAATATGATCAGTGAATAAAATAAAGGTCTTTATTCTGAATACAAAAAATTGCAATTAGAAAGTAGCTTAAGAAATGTTTATGTATATTAATGTTCTTTCTTTTTCACTTTAAAGGCAATAAAAAATAAACTATTATTTGCCATAAAAGATCCTTTCTTTAAATGTCTATATCTGGTTGGCACTCAAGCCTCGATCAGGTTACTAGACTGGAAATGTCAGCTATACTCTTGTCTTTTCTGTTTCTTTAAAATTCTCACGTTGAATATTACCAACCCACCTCTTCTGCATGACTTTATTTTTTGGAAACGTGTGGAAACTGAGGTAAGAGTTCAATTTCTGACCCTGTACGTTGCTGAACACAGCAGTAGTCGCCAGAAGTACAGTTCTCACGTCTTAGAAATTACCCTTTTAAAAGTTTAGATGTCATATTTATGTAGCCGACATAAACAAATATAAGTGGGCTATAATGGCATATAAGATTAAGACAACTATCAAAAGCGTTGTTTTAATCAGTAGCACTCCTGTTGTAGCACTGCACTGTTCGATCGGCGGAAGTTGGCCCAGGGTCTTACATTTTACCGGAAATGCATCATACACCACCGTGCATATAGCCCATTGCCTCTTGTTACAGTTATGAATTAGTCTGATAACATGCAGGAAATGTACATGGGTCAATAGCTATGTTTCCATCCAAAAATGCGAATAAACTTTGTGCAAAACTGGATTATCGCATAAAAGACGTGCGACTAAAGCAGCGTTTCCATCCAACGAGTCAAAGCGAACAAAATCATCACTTCCTGATTACCTGCCGCCAAATATTAACAGTAAAAACTGAATTTGCTGCAGTAGGAGAAGCTGCGTCAATCTTTTCTTTATTTAACAAATGACTTACGCCTGAGAAGGCAAACCTGACACGTATAGTGAACGCGCAGTGGCGTTTGAAAGTGTCAGACGCTCTTGATTCTGGAGTTCATTAATAATATAATAACAGTAATACTTAAACGGTTAGGCATTTAGGAATGACCAAAACAACATTTCGGATGTTTTATTATGTGCTCAGCCTGATGGTTTGTCCATTCACACACATTTTTATCATCACATGACCTCTTATAACAAAAATCACATGACCTTTTTTATTGCGCATGGTGGAGTTTGTGCGGTAAAAGTGTCTCCATTGTAGTTTGTGCACATCTTTTCTTATCGAATAAAAAGTTTATCCTACTCAGTTATGCGCATTTTGGCATTGCCATCAACTGTCATAGCTAATGACATCACCACATTGAAATGGTCAATATCACTATGGTGATATGAATAAAAGTTAGAAAAGTATTTACAAACAAAAGAAGTAAACGTTTCCAAAAAAAAAAAAAAGCTAAATTTACCTATTATATGTAGAATGTCTGGGCGAATTAGTGGTTCTCCCCCGGTGATTCGTATCTTGTTGACCCCTTCTTGTACAAAAAGTCTGGCTACTGTCAGCAACTCATGTGTTGTTAGGAGCTGAGATCGAGGAGTAAGTTTTACCCCATCTTGTGGCATGCAGTACTGACCTGTAAATAGAAAAATGCTCAAGTTACTGAAGTTAACCTCAGTTCTCTGAGATAGGGGAATGAGCAATACATTGAAGAAATATTGGGTAAAACTCTGGCTTTACTTGAATACTGAATCCTGATTTGTTCCCATTTTTGTAGCTGCACAGATATAATCAATAGAAATACTGCTGGATATTTTAATGGAATTATAAAGGTCACAGAAGCAAAAAGGACATCAATGTAAACCAAAACATGAGTAGGATTTAGGCCTTCTAAATTTTTGTCTAAAAGGATCAATTGATCCTTCATGGGAGTTTGATTAATAGGTGGTCTGGTCATGTCACTGTTTCTTAATATGCGTTCTTAGGCAGTGTTGCATCCTCATGTTCTCGGTTTATGTCATCATCAACTGCCAAAGTTCAGTTAAAATACTCAAGACTGCAAGAACGGAGGACGCGTGAAACTTCCCTGATGTGTTCTTGATATCAATGATGCACCGACGCAGACTTGAGCACCGAACTAGCTCTGGAAGTCCCAGAAGTCATCGGAAGTGGCTGGAGTTGGGAAGTGCAGTATTTTGTATAGGTTTATTATTAAAGTTTAGAGATATAACTTATTGACCTCAGGAGTTTCCCTAGATGAGACAGTGAATATAAACATTACCATGAAAATCTTAATAAAGGCATGAAGACATTAAAGGTGTTTATTTGCTTATATTCATATCAAAATCTGTTTTATTTGTATTGTGCAACGTATATTTGTATAAATTCTTTATGCAGAGTACATACTGTGAAAAGGGTAAAAACGATAAATCGTAAATGCTGTAATGTTTAAATAATTTTTGGTTAAAAATGCGTATGGGTCATGTGACAATCAGGAAGACCGCAGCATCTCATTTCTCACAGGACGGGTTCTCAGTTCTTGCGGCCTCCCGAGTTCGTTCTTCCGAGGTGACCTAGCAAGACCGGTCTTCACAAGAACGCAAGTCTGTTCTCTGCGTTCTTAAAACTGAGAAACAGCCACTGATGTTCTGTGCCCTTTTTCCATGTTCGCAATGATGTCTGACAGGCCTTAGGGGAAAACAGTGGTTCCTAGCCTCAGCCCTGCACATTTTGTATGTCTCTCTTATTTGACACACAAGGATGAGCTCATGGATCTCTCTGTTAACGAGCTGTTGATCTGAATCAGGTGTGTTAAGGAAGACACACAAAAAGTGCAGGGCAGCTCGAGGACTGGAACTGAGAACCAGTGTGGCAAAATAACATACATACATTAGTGATTATATGAAAAATGGTCAAAATGTGCTTGTATGGAACTTGCAACATACTTGAGACAGAAAGGCTGGGTGTTTTACTATTTCATCCTTTCATGAAACAACAAGAGTATGAAATGGACCAGTCAACGGTGCTGTTGAATGAACAACTTTGACTTGAGAAGAATGAACTATTCTTTTCTTTTACTGGACTGGGACAGCCTGCATATCTTTTGCTTATGGAGAAGTGATTTGTGACGAGGAAAAAAAAACTACCTGAGGATTTGGAAGTCTGAAGATGAGAGGTGAGATAAGCTAACTTAAACTTTATAGCCTGGAGACCCAGATAAAAAAAAAATCTTTACTGTCTTTAATAATTTCAGATGCATTATATAGTAGTTTTGTCTAGTTCAAGATGCCACCGAGTGCGCATGTTTGTAAATTATTTTAGGGAATTAATATGTAACATTTAATTATACTTAAATAATGCAAACTTCCTATCACTTTACTCAATGTTACCAACTTAGCAATTTTGTTGCTAGATTTAGCAACTTTTCATACTACCTGGCAACTTTTTTTCAAAAAGCATGTAGCAACAAATTTAGCAATTTTTAACATTCACTTGGCTACTATTAGCATTTTTTTTTTTAAATTGACTCAAAAGAACAGTGCCTGCAAGCTTCACTCAGTAGAGTAAATTACTAGCTCCGATAGTTTTTTATAAGTTTTAATTTACTGATATCTGTTAACATGTACAATTGTTTGTAATTTGGGTAGCAATAAATTCCAATAGTGCTACAATTGTTGTCACTTTCACAAATATGTTAATTTCACAAGTTAAAAAGAGTTAGTACACAAGCTGCGATTGTTTAAAAGAATGAAACGGTTCATCATCAGTGTTAAATTTAAATAATAATAAAAAATAATTATTATCAAAAAGTGTTTGTATTACTTTTACAAAAAAGTAATACTATATTTTTCATACAAATCTAAATGGACATATTTTAAATAATGTTTTTGCTAAAATACTCAGTCAATTTGAGAAAACATTATTATTTTAATTATATATTAGTATGCTAAATAAAGATGTAGTTTTGAGTTGCATTTACGCAATGATGTCATCACGCAAAGTAAAAGGTTAATAAGAACCTATTTATTGTGCATCTGGATGTAATGTTTTAATATAATTTATACAATAGTTCCGTCTGGTTCTCGAATCTGATTGGCTGATAGCCATGTGATATTCTGCAATAACATCACTCGTACAGCCTCTTTACCTTTGTGTATTACTCCGCCCTCATAGAGTGACAGCAGATCAATAAACTCACAACAGTTTGACAAATATTGCAGCTAATAGACAACATTGTGTACTTCCGAGGCTTTTTTAGTTGAGAATGTAGTTGTTTAGATTGCAATTATGCAGTTTATTTATAAGGCTAGTGCCTATTTAAAAATATTTATAACCTCTGAGAGACAGCGCATCGGCGTCCATTAGCCTAAGATGGTTGATGTTGTCTATCCACACGATGGCACCAGAATCGCATAATAAGCCCTTGCTTAAAAGATTAAAACAGCGTGATTTCTAACTGCAGCTGATCAAATCATTATTAAACTAATAAGCGATATTCTAAGTCGATCTCTCTCTTTTGTATAGATTGCAACTATGCAGTTTATTTATAAGCACAGTGCCTATTTTAATACAGTTACTTTCCTATCCCAGTTCTCAACAATGTTATTGAGACCTCAACCCCAAACACCCTCTCCTTATCGCAAACGCAACAGCAGTCTGGTAGTGATTGCACTGCTTTTTTGGGGGGTTAATTATTGTGATATCCCGATTGCAACAGAGAAATACTGTAGACTGTAACACTGTAAGAAGATATCTCTGTAATTGGATGGCATTTCATGTTAAGTTCAGCCTTAAAACCTTAATGTTAGCAAAATCAGCTGTTTTGTCATCATTTTATACATTACGCTAAAGAAAGTCATTCAAACACTCTCTCTAAAGTGACGTTGGTTAATAAGTAACAGCTTCTGCTGTTTTGATGTCAGCTGCAGATGTGAATGAATGGTGGAAGAAAGTAGTTTCTAATACAAAAGGGTTTTTAGACTACATATTATTATACTTTTCCCAGAGATGGGTTGTGGCTGGAAGGGCATCCGCTGCGTAAAAACTTGCTGGATAAGTTGGCGGTTCATTCCGCAGTGGCGACCCCGGATTAATAAAGGGACTAAGCCGACAAGAAAATGAATAAATGAATGTATGAATATTATTATACTACATACACTCGTAGCATGTGATATAGCTGTATATTAGCACTGGTGGGACGCTAAGGCAAAACAAGCCTTCCACCAGTGCTGATATACAGCCATATCGCACTGCTACTCGTGTTGTATTGCTCATATAATACACAGGGCCTCAGAGAGTAGAGACATGATGGGCTTACGCATGTCAGATACTACATAATGACGTCACTGATATGCAAATTAGCACGTTACGTCATCTGGCAACATTTAACTACTTTTCGGGCAGGCTTTAGTTACTTTTCATTAAAAATAGTAGGCAACACTGACTATACTTGAATGTTTTATTTCGAGTTACTTTCACATCCTGAATATATCCCTTGTATGCATATTGTGGATCTGTAATTTGTCCAGAAATTATTCACTATTTTCCTGAAAAGTGCACAAATTGATAGGGGAGTGCCACTGTTCATACTGAAAGCTTGTTAGACAAAAAAAAAGTGGCGCTGGGGTTCTCGAATGGTCAAGTTTTTCCACTATGATTAGTACAGTCAACAACTATTCTCAAATTGCCTTTGGATAGAGCGGTAAAACTGTAAAAGTACTACTTATATTACATTTACATTTTATAAGACACTTTTATCTGCAAGTTAAAAATTCCCTTTCTAAACAAGCAGGAATGAGCAAATTGTTTGATATTTCAGAATGTGGATCCCAATCTACCTTAGAACCTATAGCCATACACTTTGTAAAATGTATATGGCTATCGTAGTTGTAGACGATGGTAAATTAATTATTTATGAATAATTAATTTTTAACAAATTAATTATTTGTAGCCTACCATTTCAACTACTTGACCTGCATCGACTATGTTTTACCCATAACCAAATCATAAATAAATAAATATAAGTTACACACAAATTACCACCTGTCAATCACTTTTCGGGCTGGACTGCAGTGATTTGTGTCACTATAATGGCTTCGACAAACTTGGTTGGTAAAAAAGTTGCACAACCAACCAACAGTATCTGAGGTTTTAGATAAAATAACTAAGTGCGAAAGATTGAAGCAGTGTACTGACACTGTAAAAGTTACTTCATAGATTCAAAAGACAGAAGAGTCATTAGATAGAGACAATATTAATAAAATATCATGTTTAACAACTATAGTGAGGTTAGATCCAGCAGTACATCCTTGATAAACTGTGCGATGTGCACTGCTCTCTGGGGTTTTGTGCTCAAAGCACCCGCTGGCTGCCTGGAGCTCAGACGTGCACATATACTGCAGTGCATAATAAAGTGTGTGTGTGTGTGTGTGTCTGTGTGTGTGTGTGTATGGTCATGTGATGTGCGTTTTTAGAGGTATAGTGTGGAAGGAGAGCTGTTCAGAAATGCTAGATGAAACGCCAGTGTAGATGTGGATCATTTTCAATCTAAAATGCCATTTCAAAACTAAGACGTGTTAGTTTAAACAAGGCCAGTGTATATTTTTTGCAAGCGGGTTGCTGCTGCGACAGGGGCAGGGTGAGGATTGCGATGCTGGCTCAGCATCGTGATGTCTATCGGCCATCAGCGATGGATGATGCCTTCGCCTATTGACCCAACCCTATTGGGTAATCGACAGCCCAAACAAAAGGACTGTATATTGGTAGGTCATGCCTAGGCTTCGACTGCCTCATTTTACAAGCAGAATTTGTATGTTGAGATAGAGAATGTTTCCCAGGGGTCCGTTCTTCGTACGTGAATTACTCAATTAGCTAGATTTGGTTATTGACGATTTGACATGATCCAGGATCGTTTTGTCCTTCAAAACTGGTCCGAGAGTTTTTGTCAGAGCAACAGTTCTGGTAGTTCAAACCTGCTTGGGAGCAGGCTCATTTCATATAAATAGGATTAGATCGGCTAATTTCAAGCAAAGGTAATGCTAAAAGTATGTACTGAATGCTGATATTATCTTACAGTGGTAGTTATATACACTTGGGAAAATAGTAAAATAGTTAAAAAAAAAATGTGTATATATACACACAAATTTTAAATTTACTAGTAATATAATATAATAATTAGTTATATTTAATATTAAATAACTAGTAATATTTATGTTTATACATAGAATAAAAAAAAAAAAAAAAATATATATATATATATATATATATATATATATATATATATATAAACGGGGTGGTTCTTCCCGGGGGGATCAAAGAGAACATTTATTAATATGGACTTTTTAGATACAAACAGGTACTATTTTAAGATACCAACCCAGCTTTACAATTCTTTTATGATCATAGATAACATGCACAATATTCAACTGTTTTTTGTTTGTTTTTTAAAGTAATATTAACATATGCAGTCATACACGTTTTGATAGCTAGTATTTCAGTGATTTGATGCTTTGCAGAAGTTGCAGACACCAATATCAAAACGCTTTTTGATGCAAAATTGATTTAATTTACTGATAAAGAAACTTAAATAGGCCTAGGCTACTAAAATAAAGAAAATCTGCTCTAAAATGTCAAACTAAATAAAAATCGCTAAATACTCTTGACACATGAAAGTGTAAGCCTGCAGCTCAAAAATAATGTGTAAAGTTATTGCGTGTCATACTTGACAAACCTTAACTGAGAATTTTGTGTATTTTTGCTCACATGGATAAATGGATATTATTCAGATTATGTCATTATACACTGCTGTGCCATCAGCCAATCATTGCATTGCTGATCATGATTTTGAGGATTGATAGATCTGTCTTTCACAACACATGCAGCGATCTCACATCAGTTCATCCAGACATTTTAATCTGATTTGGGAACTTGTTTAAAGAATGAAATTATTCAGAGATCAGTTATCAAGATTAAAAGATCCAGAATCTGCCAAATCATCTTAGATAATTTAAGCAAGGTACAAAGAACGAACCTCGGGCCTCTAGATGTGACTCAAAGAGCTATATGTTTACAAATGGCAATTCACCTAGAAATGGTGGGGAGTTTATATTTATGAGAGATAGAAAAAAAGGATTCTTTTGTCAATTAGTGAAGTTTGTTTTTTCGCCAATGGCTTGCTTTGTTTGTAACTTGTGGAGCTGCACATTGGTGGATTTGCTCTTCAGTCTTTTAACATTCAGCAGTGATATTTACATCACAATGAACTCAACTTCAACTCTGAAAACTGGAATGCAGCAGTTTCAGTTTACTAGAACTTCTATGTTAAGCTGTTTTGACACAATCTACATTGTAAAAGCGCTATAGAAATCAAGACGAATTGAATTGAATTGAATCTGGCAGTCTAAACATCATTGACTTTGAAAGTAAACAAACATGAAAAATCAGGCTACATAATTCAAGCATGCGCAAGTGAACATTTGAAAATTAACTTTATTTTGATAATTTAATAAATAATAAATTATTTCATTGAAAACATGGATTTACCAATGCCACAAAAACAGGGAAAGCAAGGGGAACACTTCAACAGCAGGTGCCAGAACTGAACTTTGTTTATCTTTGTAATTTATAAATATGTAGTTTTGCATTAATCTGTTTGATCAACTGATTTATCAAAAAAAAAAAAAAAAAAAAACACTGGTCTAACCAATAAACATTCTTCAATACTAAAACAACCACTGTAACCCAAACTGAGGAGTCAAATTACTGATTAAATTGTTAATAGTAGATTACAGGTTAGCAGTGCTTTAGTTGGACTTGTAGCATTGAGAAGGTAAGTGCCAACTCCTAGAGAAGAAAAGTGTGTGGATGACTTACAACGAAGATTACACTTTTCAGTTAAGGAAATTCTTAGGTAATTGTGTCTCCGTCCAAAAGAGTCCGTGAGAAACTGTGAGAAAGGAAGAACATCCTTCAGAACTCGTCTATGACCACCTGGAACCACGGGCTCTCTGACCTGCAGAGAACAAATAATAGACAATGTTTAGATAACAAATCAGTATAACAAAACAGCCTTTTTTTTTTTTTTTTAAAGTTGATATTTTATACAGTTCTTAATCGTTTTTGTGTGTGCTTCTGCCTTTAGTTCTTTTTTCTTTTGTACACCTTGTTGGCTAACATGGTTACCATTGTTCCCAGAAGCCTTTTCCACTGAGTAGTATGGTTCAGTTTACTACAGATCAGTCAAATCAGTCTTGTGTTTACGACAAAAAGTTGATCAATGTCATTCCCACTCGAAGAGGAAAGCTGTATGTGCTGTTCATTTGTAGGATTTTTCTGTACTCTCAAGTTTATAATTTCAATTGCAGACACATGGTAAATGCATGCAAACAGAGAGAAAGCATTGCATGGGCTCATAAACAACAATAGAGGACATACACCAGGGGGCTGTTTCATAAAAGTGGTTTAGAAAAGCAGGGATTAAGCTTAAATTGGTTCCATAACAGCAAGTTGAAAATCATTTGATCTAACTAATCTGAGTTCAGTTTAAATAATCTAGATAACCGCTTGTGAAGATTACTGTCGCGAAACCCTGAAGGTTGAGCATTGATGTATCGATTATGTTGTGTGCTACCATGGCAACTACGAGAACTGAAAGAGTTCTGAAATGAGACACAGCTCTGTTCACAGCGAGCAAGCAGCAGTTTTTAGAGTTCAAATATGTAATAATTTAAACATAATAATCAAAAACTACAGTACGGCTTGCAACAAAGCAGGAGAGTAGGCTGACAGGAAATTGCAGATTTTAAAATATAGGCCATTATTTAGGCCTATTAACGTTAAATTAAATGTTTGTAAAAATAGATTGAAATTATTCATGCACAGACAATGCTCGCTTAATGCCAAATGTTTCTGGGAAGGAAAAGTTTTAATGTTCTGCAGGCTCCCGGTAACATTCAAAATGCGCTTAACATAAGCGCACTGAGTTTAAAATAATGGCAACAAAGAAATGAGAATGCACAAGTGGCAGGATATTTAATTTGCTCCCAAAACCGCTGAAAATTTCTGCTTTCCCTTTGACACACGTGTTTCCTGCAGTGTGTGGCAAAATATCTTTATATTAAAGTGAGGCTACTGCTCGGCCCAGATCTCTCGATTATTCCACTCAGGGTTTACAGTTTTAAAGTAAATCATTAAGAAATGTAGTCTACTACTTTATATCAGTCAGTGCTTTCTTAATATTATTTTCTTCATCAAACTTTTGTCATTCATATTTAAATTGCTAAGTACAACCCTCATAGATCTCTCTTTTAAATTAATATTTTCTACTGGATGCTTCATAATAATATCTTTGTGCATATACATTTTAGATTATTCAGTATCAAAGCAAAATTTGTAACTAACCTAACAAAAAATAAACTGAAGATCAGTCCAAAAATTTATACACCTAAATTAATATGTTGGGGGAAATATTGAATAAAATTGTAATAAACGGGGAGAAAAAAAACAACAGAAACATAATCAGAAATAAAATATAGTTGAAATGTTGTAGTTTGTATTTGGATTATCTTATTTGAGTTTAAATGTATATATCATTCTATTCTTAAATATGTTTTGTATATATCCGGAAAAGAAAAATCTCACTTTCAAAGCGTGACAGCTCGCAGCACCGTCAATCACTCAGGCAGAAAAACATGACAGTCTGCTGAGTGTTTTATGGGCCGATCAGATCATAAGCAGATGATCAGCCCGGCCCAAAATGTACGTTGATACAGCGGGAAACTGCCGGGTCTGCCCCTGGCCACAACAGGAAAAAAAAAAAAAAAATGCGTTATTTGCGTAAATTTTTTTTAACGCGTTAATTATTTCAAATTAATCGCATGCGATAACGCGTTTATTTTGACAGCGCTAATATATATATATATATATATATATATATGTGTGTGTGTGTGTGTGTGTGTGTGTATTTTTTTTTTTTTTACTATGAAGTGACTATAAAGTTTGAATCATTATAAAGAGGTTAAGGGATTTAAAATAGCATCAAATTACAGCAGGTGAATATAAACATTACTTTGATTGAGCTTGAAGACTTAGTCTGAGAGTTAACCTGCCCCGGACCAGGCTAGTCTCCCAGCATAAGTTGTCAGAGTAACTGAGTTTAAACTATCGTAAATTTAATTTATGAAACCGAATCCACCATTAATTAACCTGACTCACCAAAACAAGCCTGGCTTTTTCTCTTAGCTTGGTTTATGGAACAGGCCCCATATCACGATCTTGCCTCTTGGCTTGTGGCTATTTTGTCACAAGACAACAAGCTT